AAAAAAAAAAAAAAAAAAAAAAAAAAATTTAAAAATGAAATTAAAAACGCAAAAAAGCCAGAAAACACTCAATATCATCGCCATTCAAACGACTCTAAGTGCTTTAGTAATTTCTCAATTATTCTCCAGAAGCAACGATAGCATCTTAGTAAAATCAATTAACAGCACCAGATTGCTATCGGTCTTATCAGTTATTCTCGAGTTTGTTTGTTTGTTTTTTTTTTTCTGTAAATGTTTCAAAACTCAACACTATAATAAATGCTATAAAAATTCAACTACAGTACAGCCACTACCGAGTAAAGGCAAACATTGTTAAACCAATTTTCTGACACTAACTGATTTTCCGTTTAATTCTTAATTCTAAAAGTTACCTAATTCAATTTCCATCTGTCATTCGCTTAATCATTTTATTCTTGAAAGAAAAAAAGAATGCGGAATAAAAAGCACAAGCTAAATTTACCACTACTGTCACTGCTGCTCTAGTAATTGAAGTCCTAAACTAAAGATACTGTTAAAATAAGCATTATCAACAGTATCAGCTTCAAAGACTACACCAACAAGTTAACCCATTAAATATTGTGAAAAAAAGTTAAGAATAAAGCAAAAAAAAATTATGAAAAAAAAAAGATTCAAAAATTTGGCAGAAAAAAGCAGTTGCTAAGAAAACCGTTTTAATTGAACTACCTATAGCGTTGCTTTGATCTCTGAAGAGGAATTTTGCTTATAAAGGTGAGTCAAAAGTTTAAAAAAACTGGTTTTCCTAAGCCAAAAAGAATACTAGTAAAACAAGCAACTTCAACAACCTTTGTTACAACGACTATGGCAACAAATGATATAGGCTTAATACAGATCAGATCTGGTTTTTGTAAAATAAATTTATCTACCAGAAAATTATCCCAGGTATAGCTCAGTGTAACTGTTATTATTTGTACGTTGTTTCAGCTGTCAAGTGAACAAAAACTTTTTGAAATGGTATGGTGGTTAAGCGAAGGAAAAACTGAAATAGAATGGTGAAGATAAGTCAGTAAACTAAGTATGAGAGCAATTTGGCTTTTGACCGGAAATACTCGCTTTCTCCGAGCCTTAGACAAAGCCAGAAAAAACAGAAAGACAACCGGATGAATAGTTCAAGTAAAACAACCTACAGGTACCACTACTAAGAAATGTAAACAACAAGAAGAGCTGTAAACTAAGAAAACTGTAACAAACAATAATAAAAAAAAAAAAAAACGTGAACAAGGTTTAACTGTAGAAACCAAAATGAAACAGATAAAAAAAGTCAAAATTTAGAGTCAAAACAAAAAAATTTTTGATAAGCAAAAATTGATAGAACAAAAAACATTCATTTCTCTTCTCATTTACTTTTCAAAAAAATTGTATTTTCTTTTTTTGTCTGTTTGGCTTCTTAAATTGCAATCAAAAACTGTAAACGGCAACGAAAGAGAGAAAAACGAAAATACTTCATTCCTTTCAACTGTAACCTATTTGGATACACTGAAAATATTTTCAGTAATAGTTATATGAAATGTATCTACAATAATAAGGTTTGCAACTTCCATCGTTCCTTTTATTA